ATTAAATTAAAATAATCACCTTCTGGACAGCTCTTACAATCAAACCGACTTTTCCCTGGAGCGTTATTGTAATGGACAAAAGTCCCTTTTCGGCAGTGTCGGCAGCTGTTACTTACAAAAGCCAGGCTGTCTGAGTAGAAACCTCCTGGAAGAAGAAAGGATAGAAAAGGATCACTGCTAAATGAAATTAAAAAGTAAAAATGATAAAAAAAGAAAACTTACTGAGCTTTAATGGGCACCGAAACTCCCAAACATATTGAATTGACTTATGACTGCATAAATTTTATCAACTACCCAGTCAAAGAAAAAAATGAGCACATGCAAACCTTGCAAAATTTTTTTACACACCTTTGAGACGTATAGTTAGTTTAATAGGTCCGTTTACCGATCCATAAAGAAAAGTATTGTGTCCACCAGTAATAAAATGTATCTACCTAATATCATCTTCTGTCTTACATGTAAACTTCACACACCAAAAAGGAGAAAGTACTAGGGACGTTTTGAGTGCAGGTGTCGCCGAGGCCTTCAAACCCTGAATGTGTTCGAAAGCGAATCCGTCCATTTCACTACCTTGTGTAGACGAAAAACTTAATAACTTTGTGTAAAGCTCAAATATAACTCCACTCCTTTCTTTACTTAGCTAGCGACGTGCTTTGATAAAAATAAAAATAAACGCGACAACCGGCTTCAACCCGACAATGACGACATTTCAAGGAAATGGATAATGCGTGTAAATTAAAAAGATAATAATACGAATATATCTCGCTTGTGCTTTTATCTGCCTTGTTTCCCTTTTTCACACAAGAAAGGATACTTTTGGATTGATATCTTGGAATTAGATTTTAAAACAACAAAAATTTATTGTTGGTACTATACAACTAGACCAAGGACCATCAAAGATTACACCATTTCCTGTTCAAAACACTGACTGGTAAAAATTGTATTTCCAGTTTAGACACAAGACCCGAACATTGTGTCCTTTTAAGTGACACAAGCCGTTTAAGCCAAATGCCGGAATATTCCCAAATGACAGCTCAACCGGCCAAACACTTGAAGATACTGGGGGCTTGAGGGGATTTTTTATAGTTTCATGCATGGAGATTAAACTTAAAACTGTAACCTCCAGACCTTTTTTGTGTGACAACTTTACACTGCAACCAGCCTTATAAGATCTTTTTCAAAGCTCAAAGAATATTCAGGAATTCCGTGGCTTCGTGAATCATTCAAGTTGTTGGAAGAAACGTTAGCAGTTTACAATAGGTGTTATCTTTATCTGTTGCTGTTGTTCCTAACATTAAACATTAAAAACACCTCTGCTTTGCAGTCAAATTCTATTAAGTGATCTTCTGGGCCCGGTTCCGCGAAAAATGGTTAAGTCTACCCCGAGATTAAGCCAAATTTCAAGCGCAGTTATCTCGTCTAATAACACGAGGTTACAAAATGCTGTTGAGCCTTTATATTTTACTACGAGATACAGTAATGATACTGAGCCACAAAATGTTACCCTAAGCAATTCACAGGAACTTAAAATAGAAAAGCGGAACAAAATTTAATCTTGGATTAACGTTAACCAGCCTTTTAGAAACCGGACCCAGACTATTTTCCGAGAGCGATGATTGCTTTATAGAGGTTTGACTGTATTGTTTCTTGTGAACAGAATGATGAATAAATCAAGTAGCTATTTTAAAGCAAGAATGAGGTGAATGATTTAGCACCAGTTTTCTAAGGGCTTCACGGATTAGACCTGAAACTTGAGTTTAGATGCCGTTAGAAATTTTAAGATACACCACTTCTTCCCATTGGTACGGGTAAAGAAACATGTTTGCTACGTAGTTATATGAAAGAGAATAAGGACTTTTCGAAAGGTGGCAACGACATCATCCTTCCACCTAGCAGCCTTGCCATCCTCCGGTATGCTTTCCAACTGGTCTATGCATGTTGAGAGTATTATTTCTTGTTGCTGCGGAGCGACCGTAAGGAGCGAGCAGCAACATAATCAGGATTTAAGGGAAATATATAAGGGGCGACGAATTCTCGAATTCATCACTTTTTACCACAATGCATTGCATTTAACCACACTTTTTACCACAATGCATTGCATTTAACCAGAGTGCATTGCGCCACGAACAAGTCAAATAAAAACACGGGGAAGTTTGCATCGTTCGCTGCCCAGACTCAGAGTTTTCTTTGTAGCAAATTTTCTACAGCACGGTTACAGGTCTTGCCAAATTTAAGACACGCAGGAGTCTTTCAGATGAGTACGATGGTTAACTTGGGGATTGGATTTCAATTCAAGAGCCTTTGACTCGTCCAGGTGTTAAACCTGACGAGAAGATGAGCATTTGCTCTTCGACTCCGCAACACGGGGGATATACAAATTCCAGCTTGCTAGAAGGTGATGTGAAAGTGAGAAAATGTCATGCCATGCTATTCTTAAGAACCTGTATGAGCCGAAAATGGATGTGATTTTGACCATTCGCTTCAAAATAACAGCGGAAAT